TAAACAGGTGTTCTGTAAATTCTATTCATAAGTGTTTTTGTGTTGCACATTAATAGGACAGAGTTTGATTTGTCCAGAAAAGTAGTCATTTGCATTCTTGAACTTCTCTATAGACTCCTCAATTTAAAGGGAAACTCTAGCTTACCAAGACTTTATACCAAAAGACTAAAATTTAGGGACAAAATAAGCAATCTGTAATTTTCTGTATTTGAATATTAATCAGAGATCTAAAAAAATTATTGAAATCAAAATTTCAGGACTAGACTGGGCCTTGGCGATCATGTGGCTTGCTTTATCGTTTTTAGGTAAGGAAATTGAGACCCAACCACAGAAACCAAATTGATCTATCTGAACTTGAAATATCATCATGTAACTCCTTTTCTTAAAATCTGTCTCTGGCTCCCCATTATGGTCAGGACGAAGTCTAAATTCCTCAGCATTGTGTATAACATCCATAGTCTGGCCTCTGCTTACCTTCCCAGCCTTACTTCTTGCTCCTCTTCCCGACTTATCCCAGAACTCAAATCTTCCAAGTACACTATGTTCTTTCTTACAAGACAGGAAGTTGCATATAATTTCCCCTTTGTTCTTCCTCTTTGAGTCTAAGTCCTAACCATCCTCCAGATATCTGATTAGACATCATCTCCTCTGAACACATATCCCACACCTCTCTGGGCTCCCAAGCATGTGTCACCCACCATCCCAGCACATTTCCACAGCACTCTAACTGCCTTTGCACAGTCTCTTTCCATCACTGAACTGGAAGGAATAGACAGCTGTGGGCAGGGACCTGCATCTTATGCAGTGTTCTATCCCCACATCTTTTTTTAAAATCAAAGTATCGTTGTATACAATCTTATATTCATTTCATGTATACAACAGAGTGGCTTACCAGTTACTCATTTTATTAAATCCTTACCCCCACAAGTGCAGTTACTGTCTGTCAATATAGGAAGATGTTACAGAATCACTGGCTTTGTTCTCCATGCTGTACTTCCATTCCTGTTATCAACTTACATTATTCTTCAGAATATTTGTGACTCTTTATTCCCTGTCACCCTTCCCACCCAGCAACCTAACTCCTCTCCCATGGTAACTACCAGTCACTTATCAGTGTCTGTGAGTGTACTGCTACTTTGTTCACTTTGTTTTGTTTTTAGATTCTACAAATGAGTGAAATCACATGATACTTGTTTTTCTCCACCTGGCTTATTTCACTGAGCTCTATAATACCCTCTAGCTCCATCCATGTTGTTGCAAATGGTAGGATTTCTTTTCTTTTTATGGCTGAAAAATATTCCATTGTGTATACATACAACATATTCTCTATCCATTCGTTACTGATGGACATTTTGGTCACTTGGTCGCTTCCATATCTGGGCTATTGTAAATAATGCAGCAATAAACATAGGGGTGCATATATCTTTTTGAATCAGGGATTTTGTTTCCTTTGGGTAAATCCCTAGAAGTGGAATTAATGCATCATATGATATATCTGTTTTTAGTTTTTTGAGGAACCTCCGTACTGCTTTCCATAGTGGCTGTACCAATTGACATTCCCACCAACAGTGTAGAAGGGTTCCCATTTCTCCACATCCTTGCCAATACTTGTTATTTCTTGTCTTTTGAATACTGGCCATTCTAAGTGGTGTGAGGTGGTATCTCATTGTGGTTTTGATTTGCGTTTCCCTGATGAATATCGATGTGGAGCACCCTTTAATGTGCCTGTTGGCCATCTGTATTTCTTCTATGGAAGTTGTCTGTTCAGGTCCTCTGCCCACTTTTTAATTGGGGTTATTTGCTTTTATTGGTGTTGAGGCATATGAGTTCTTTATATATTTTAGATGTTAACCCATTATCAGATAAATCATTTATTAATGTATTCCCCCATACTGTAGGTTGCCTTTTTGTTCTGTTGATGGTGTCCTTTGTTATACAGAGCTTTTTAGTTTAATGTAGTCCCACTAGTTCATTTTTTATTTTGTTTCCGTTGCCTGGGGAGATGTGTCCAGAAGAAAATTACTCATGCTTATATTCAAGAGATTTTTGCCTATGTTTTCTTCTAAGTGATTTATGATTTCATGTCTTACATTTAGATCTTTAATCCATTTTGAGTTTACCTTTATGTACAAAGTTAGACAGTAATCCAGTTTTGTTCTCTTGCATGTAGCTCTCCAGTTCTCCCAAAACCAGCTATTGAAGAGGCTGTCTTTTCCCGATTTTCTATTCACAGCCAGCTCCTTTACCACATATTAATTATGCATGAGTTTATATCTGGGCTCTCTATTCTGTTCCATTCATCTATGAGTCTGTTCTTGTGCCAGTTCCATCCTGTTTTGATGATTGTAGTTTCATAGAATAGCTTTAAGTCAGGGACCTAATACCCCCAGGTTTGTTCTTTCTCAAGGATTGCTTTGGCTATTCAGAGGTCTTCTGTGGTTCCAGATGAATTTTATGATTATTTGCTCTAGTTCATTGAAAAATGTCATTGATATTTTAATAGGGACTTCATTGGATTGATAAATCACTTAGGACAGGATAGCCATTTTGACAATACTAATTTTTCCTATCCATGAACATGGGATATTTGTGTCTTCTTTGATTTCTTTGTGTCCATTTATTTGTGTCTTCTTTAATTTCTCTCATCAGTGTCTTATAGTTTTCAGAGTGCAGAATGCTTACCTCCTTGGTTAGGTTTTTTATTATTAGGTATTTTATTCTTTTTGATGCCATTGTGAATGGAATTGTTTTCCTGATTCCTCTTTCTGCTAGTGCATTGTTAGCATATAGGAATGCAACAGATTTCTGTGTATTAACTTTGTATCCTGCAACTTTGCTGAATCCAACTATTAGTTTTTATAGTTTATTGGTGAAGTGTATTTAGGGTTTTCTATTTATAGTATCATGTCATCTGTAAATAGTGACAGTTTTACTTCTTCCTTACCAATTTGTGTGTCTTTTATCTCTTTATCTTGTCTGAATGCCATGGCTAGAACCTCCAGTACTATGTTGAATAAAAGTGGTAAGAGTGAACATCCTTATCTTGTTTCTGATCATACAGGAAAAGCTTTCAACTTTTCACCATTGAGTATGATATTAGTTATGGGTTTGTCATATATGGCCTTTATTATGTTTAGTGGTATGTTCCCTCTATGCCCATTTTGTTGAGAGTTTTTATCATGAATGGATGTTTAATTTTGTCAGTTGCTTTTTCAGCAGCTATTGAGAAAATCATATGGTTTTTATCCTTATTTTTGTTAATATGGTGCATCACATTGATTGGTTTATGAATATTATACCATCTTTGCATCCCTGGAATAAATCCCACTTGGTTGTGATGGAGGATCCTTTTCATGTATTTTTGAATTCAGTTTGCTAATATTTTGTTGAGGATTTTTGCATCTATGTTCATCAGTGATATCTGTCTATAGTTTTCTCTTTTTGTGGTGTCTTTGTCTGGTTTTCATAATGTAGTGATGCTGCCCTTATAGAATGAATTCAGAAGTATTCCCTCCTTTTCTACTTTTTGGACTTCTTTAAGAAGGATGGGTATTAGCTCTTCTTGAAACGTTTTACATAATTCAGCTGTGAAGTCATCTGTTCCTGAGTTTTTGTTTATTTAGAGTCTTTTTTACTACCAATTCAGTTTCATCACTGGTAATTGGTCTGTTCAGATTTTGTTTCTTCCTGGGTCAGTCTTGGAAGGTTGTGCCTTTCTAGGAATTTGTCCATTTCTTCAGGTTGTCCAATTTATTGGCATATAATTTTTCATAGAATTCTCTAATAATTCTTTGTATTTCTGTGATGTCAACTGTAACCATTCCTTTTTTGTTTCTGATTTTATTTTTGTCCTCTCTTTTTTTCTTGATAAGTCTGGCTAGGAGTTTGTCTATTTTGTTTATCTTCTCAAAGCACCAGTTCTTGGTTTCACTGATTTTTTTTTTCCTCCTGTTTTATTCTTCTCTATTTTATTTATGATCTCTATTGTGTCCCTCCTATTAACTTTGGGTTTCATTTGTACTTCTTTTTCTAGTTTCTTTAGTTGAGTGTTTAGACTTTTTATTTGGGATTGTTCTTCTTTCTTGTGGTAAGCCTGTATTGCTAAGCACCTCCCTCTTAGAACCACTTTTATGGCATCTGACATATTTTGAACTGTTGTATTTTTGTTTTCATTTGTCTCCATGTATTGCTTGATTTCTTCTTTGATTTGTTTATTGATCCATTGATTATTTAGAAGTATGTTGTTTAGCCTCCATGTGTTTGTGATTTTGGGGGATTTTTGTATACTTTATTTTTCATTCCATACCATTGTGGTCTGAAAAGATGCTTGATACAATTTTAAGTTTTTTAAATTTCTTGAGGCTCTTTTTCTGTCCTAGTATATGATCCATTCTGGAGAACATTCCATGTATACTTGAGAAAAATGTGTATCCTGCTGCTTTTGGGGGGCGTGTTCTGTAGATATGTGTTAAGTCCATCTGATCTAGAGTGTGTATCCCCACATCTTGATCAGATGTCTGGCATTCAACATTTTACGATTAATTATTAATCTCACTTTTAACCTCCCCAGCATGCTTCAATTTTTCCATCAGCTCTCCTTTCAAAAAAAAAACTCCTGTTTTTAGAGGAAAATAATCTAATTGATTAATTCACATCACCATACAGATCACTGATGATCCTTAATGGCAACTCTTCCTGGAAGCATTTACATTTTTATAGGAACAGAGTTTGATGTCACAGGAATGAATCCCCAATGCAGATAATCCAGCCATAAATATTAAGCCATGAGAGTGTTTATGAGGGAAAGGAAGCATTCCTTGAACCTTCAGCTTAGTCCCACAGGTGACCTGCTGTGCTCTCACCCTCACAGAATGACTTTATGTTTTTGTTTATTAAAATCAGATCACTTGTTGGTTTGTTCACCCTGTGTTAAGTAAATCATTATTTACCCATAATAAAAATGCATAATTTAACTTGTAACATTTCTGGTTTTATTTCAGGGGAGCAATGTTATGGAAGATCAAGATTTGTTGGAAATTGGAATCCTTAATTCTGGGCACAGACAAAGAATTCTACAGGCAATCCAGCTCCTTCCAAAGGTAGGCAAGGCTTTATTACTGTAGACCTAAGTACAGTCCCAGTAGTTTTAAGTCTAGATGTGCAAAAGGTATTAGAATTTAGAACAACATTTCTGTATATTGTTGCAACTCCCAAAAGCAGGTCTTCTTGGGCCCAACTAAACATTCAGACTCACAAAACTCCTAGGGCCATGCTAGGCTTTAGAGTAACCTAGAAGAATGTAATGTATACAGGAAACACCCCTGGCCAGCGGGGCAGCTTCAGAGTTTCTCCTTAGTGGAAGTCCTTTTATCAGTGTAAACATCAGTCCAGGACTTCTGGCCAACAGCTCAGGTATAAGAAGACAAGATCAGTATTTAGAGGGTGTAGAATGTTCCTAGATAAAAAGTTCCATCTCCCATAAGAGGCAATATCTCTTGTAACAACTCCATAGATTTCACCTCTGGGAACAAAGGACCTGCGTAATTATAGGACTTATCACTCAGGGAAGTCCAAAGTATTATCTCCCCATAAGGTATTTATAGTTCATGTATGAATCCTCCCAGTCCAGGTGCAATTTGCCAACTAGACATTATTTTAACTGTAAGCAGTGTGTTGCCTAGCAACAGCGTTGATCTTAAGTTACCAAATAAGGTTTCATAGGAGCCTAAAGCAAGAGGTAGAATCTGAGGACTGGTCTTCAAGATGCATAGGATTTTAATTGATAAGGAGAGGGAGAGGCATTTCAGAGACCAGCAGGAACCATACAGATACAGGTACAGTCCAAGCAACAAATTGCCAGAAGTATTAGGGTAATAATGATAGAGTATAATTTAAAATCCAATGGGAGTTGTACAACAATGTGAATGTACTTAATGCCACTAAACTGTACACTTTAAAATGATTAAGGTAGTAAAGTTTATGTTTTGCTAACCACCACAAGTTTTTAAATAATATTTAAAGGGAAGAGGAAATCCAATATGGTTAAAACAATTGGATCATGGAGAGTTTAGTCAGAGACAAAGAAGAAAAAGGAGGTTGTGTCAATTTGTGTCGGGCTAAGAAATTTAAAATTTGTTCTTTAGGCACTTGGGAATAGACATTACTGGACTGCTTTAGGCCAGTTAATTCTGGAAGCAGTACACAATGGGAATTAGAAGGACAGAAAACTGAAGGTGGGTCATCCAGCTGGGAAAAGATTCAAGGAGCAAGATTGGAGGCAGGGTTGCAGATGAAAAGTAATAGCTACAGCTCGATATATGAGCTTATCATATGTTTGTATTCTCTTCTGCTCTTTTCCTTTCTAAGGAGGCTCTAATTTCTCCTCAGAATGGGAAGGATAAATATTAACCACTGTTTCCAAGGAAGTGATCTGATGAAATTTGCCAACTGACAGTGAACTGAGTTTCTACTGATAGAAACTTAACATTTTTGCAAATTCAAGGACAGTCAAGCATATAAAGAAATTTAATCATGCAATTTTCTACATTAAAAGGAAAAGAATAAAGGGTCCTTAAAACTAATTCTTATAAGAGCATTTCTCTACCTCTGTACCTTCTTAAGTATCTTCTATTTCTGTATCTTTACTTAAAATACTACTCATTTAGAAAGTTTTTTTCTTATTCTCTGAAAGATCTTTCTGCACTGCTGTATCCTCAACACCTAGCCCAGCCCATGGTAGGCACTCAATAAGTCAATGAATGGCTCCTCCTTGTCACAGTGCTGCCCATCACTTCCTTTGTGAAACTTCCCCTAAAGTGGAACCACTTCTTACCACCTTGGTAATTATCACCCTAGTTTAAACCAAGCACCTCTAACTCAACTATGACATTAGATTCCAGTCTGTCATCCCTAGACTAGACTACAGTAGGTTACGCACTGGTCCTCTTTACCCTGGACAATTCATATATACTTTCTTCCCTATCCTACTAACCTTTCTTACCATTGTACGAATGAATTTCCATCCAGCATCCAGGATGATCCTCCTACAATGTAAATCAGGTCCTACAATACCCTGCTTAAAATCTCCAATGGATTCCCTTCTCACTGAGAATAAAATCCTTATCTTGGCCTACAAAAGGCAATAGGACGTGGCTCCTTCCCACCCTATAACCTCATTTTTCACTCTCTCCTCCTATACTCTGTCATGTTCTTTTTGTTCCAGAGCATGCTAAGCTCATTTTTGTCTCAAGGCCTTTCCATATTGGTCTCTCTACTTGGAAAAGTTTTTATTCAGATCTTTGTACACTTGTTTCTATACATCATCAAATCTCTACACAGCTTTCATTTCCTCGCAGAGGCCTTTATGACCTCAAAGTCATGCCCCTTGCACTCTACCACTGTCCTTCATATTGTTCTGCTTTAGTTTCTCCATAGCACTGAAGCACTCCAAGTAACCTGAAGTTACATTATTTATTTGTTTGTTTTCTTCCTTATTTTCCATCTCTCCTCTAGGATGCAAGGTCCATGAGCTCAAGCACCTTAGCTGTCTTTCCCCCTTCTATATACCTAGGCCCTAGAGAAAGGCAAATCACATCACAGATGGTTCAAAAATATTTATGAAGAGAAAGAATACACTGCTCTCTCTTTCCTTTGAGATTTGGTGGCCCTATGCCTGCTCTGTCTGAAGGTATTAATAATATATTCTAACACTTCTACATTATGCATCCTGAGGGCAGACATTGTCATGTCCATCCTTAAACTTCCCAATGTACTTAGTTTAGTCCATGCACATTAAAAGAAAGAGAGAATCAGTGATTGAGTGAATATTTTCCTCACGTGTTATTTCAATATGAATTTTTAAAATCAAATTTTAGGAAATGTGCCTCAATTTCAAGATACATCTATAATCGTGTGCATGCCACTTGTTAATGAGAAATAAAAGAACCTGCACTCAGAATTATATGGTGAATAAATGAAGTGTTTATTTCTATGACAGAATATCATTCCCATTAGAGAAAACAGTATAATAGAAACAATACAAAATTAAGTATCTATTAAGAGGCTGATGCAAAAGTGCTTACTTTGCTACCAAATGAGTAGAGAATATACAAAAGCATCCAAACACATGTTCAGCAGCACAAACAGAATGTTATAATGCTACAGATTGATGCTTTGCCTTCTTAGGTAATGAGCCTAATCTTCAGATGGCTAATTCTGTAATTTTACTGCCAGCACATTCATTTGCATTCACTCAAACTTTGCACTGCCAGAAAATGGACAAAATGTCTCTTCATTTTGTTTATGCAATTTTGGTCTTCAGAATATTTGTGTTCTTCATCTGTTGTGAAAAATATTCCATGACTGCTACCTGAGATACTTTAATTAACATATTGTGTTTTAGAATTGGTGAGATGGTTCCTAAACAGAGAAAAGGTAGTTTGCAAAGTGCAATTTTGATCTGTTAGCACACTTTAAAGCATGTTTTTCATGCTTTATTTGTATTTGTTGTTTCATGTTTCAAAGACAAAAATGTATTGCTTTGGTAAGAATGGGTTTTCTGTAATATACCCTTTTAATACTGAAGTATTCACCAGTGCTAAGGTCTGCATATTCTCAAGTACATTTGATACATGGAACACATAGAATACATCCCATGTATTCTCAGCATGGACATCTTTAGACTAGTAATCTTATTAATTCCTCTCTTCCATTCGCTTTTTCCCTCTGTCTCTTGCAATGCTTGACCTCAAGTAACACAGCTTAATTATCCATTTTCACCCGGCATCCATTTCCCTCACCAACCCCAACTCAACCTCTTATTAGGCCTACAAGTTTGCCAGGACTTCGGAAGATCCTTTTCTCTTTTCCAGAAAGGAAACAAACCAAAAGTTCCATGAAAAGATGGCTAATTTTGTGCTCTCCTTGAAATTGTAAGTGCATTGGACTTTCTCTGTTCCCAAGACATGAGGAAATTATTTGTAACTCATAATTTGCCTTTTCCCACGTAAGAATTCCATGTGGCTAAATCTTTGGATAAACCTCTAAAATCCTTTTGAAAGGGCATAAGGTCTTTTGTCCTTTGATAATGTAACATCTGGAGGTCAAGAATTCAAATGATTTTCATTTTAAATGTTTGTAGGACTTATGTCAAGGCCCATATTGTATCTGCTTTTTTAATATCTCTCATCCTGAATTGAAAATGTGTTCCAGCACACCAGCAGCTTTTGTTTCCCTGCTCACTTCTTTTTCAGTATTTCCTTTTCTAATGTCTTCCTGTTTTATGTTATCTTTTGAATTTATTGAATAGTTGTCTATCCTTGCTAATCCCCTTTCCTTTGCTCCCACTCATTCTTCAACTTACTTGAGTCTAACTAGTTCCTCAGCTGCCATTCCACAAAACCAGTCAAAAATTACTAACAGAATGAAACCACTAACCAGAAAAACAAATTCCATAAGCCCCCTTCCACCTTCATCTTGCTTGGCTTCGTTAAATTCTGATACTCTAGTCAACTGTCCACACTGTCTTATGTTGGTCTCCACAGTACCTGATTATCTGCCTGCCTCTCTGATGTTCTTTCTCTTTGCTCATTCTCCTAAGTTAAATGTTGAAATTCCTCAAACCTCAAACTCAAAAATATCTGATGACCAGTAAATGTTATAATTACAGGACTCTTGATCATAGCATAGGTTCTGGAATTCAGTTTTGTTCATTGCTGCCCTACTTCTACTTTACTACATAAGGAACATCTACATTTCAGCTGCCCTTTATTTCTAAGCTCAGTTCAATTTAACCAATATTTGTTGGGCTACATAGTGTCAATTATTTTTTTCACTGAATAGTGCTGAACACCTCTGACTGGATTAAATTACCCTCCTTTCCCATCCTCAATTCGAGATTTTTTTTTTTAAGAACAGTTATCTGTTATCCCAACAGAAAAGTAAGACTCTGGGTTAGTTTATCTATTGCTATGTGACAAATTACCCAAAATATTAGTGGTATGTAAAAACAGCAGTTATTATCTTCTAGCTTCTGTGGGTTAGGAATTCAGGAGCAGCCTAGCTGGGTCCTCTGACTCTAAGTCTCACAGGGCCACAGTCC